GATCAGCGAAAGTTTAGCCTCAGTAGACATGGCATGGACGTACTGAACGGCCCGGGATTCATGAATCGCCAGAATGCGTTGTTGGGCGTCTTGAACCCATATCTCTCGTTGCCTGGACCAGGAATGACCTCCTGCATCGCGACACCGAGGATGTAGGCGAGGATCTGGAGGAAGAGCTGGGAGACGGAGATGGTCTGGGGGCGGAAGTAAAATATCTGGCCCAGCACAGCGCCGAAGCAGCTGAGGCCTAGGGGTAGATTCAGAACACGGTAAGAGAGGAGCGCCGCGACGAACCGAGTCCGAGGAACCACATCCTGAAGGTGAAGGCGGGTAATGTCGGGTCATCTTCGAGCGAGATGAGTCGGGTGGCGACGTCGACGTCCGTCACTGTTAATTCATTGCTGAGTGAGCTATACGCTTTAGATATGTAGAGACCTACCTATGGGCCGTTCCTTGCCGTTGTCGTCGAGGTCAATTTCCCGCAAATCGGCGTAGACCTCTCCCACAGCGGGCTCGGCGATCTGGACGGAAGATTTCTCGTTCTTGTCGTCGGTCTTCTCGTCAGTGAGCGAATCAGCGCGATCGACATCGCGCTGGGCTGGATCGATAATGGCCATGACCGGTCGGTGGGCGATAACACGACAGAGAGGCACCAGACCATCTTATAATTGGGTCCCACACGCGGGACGCCGAGCCCGGAATTGTAGAAGGATCGTGTGGTGCAGCTGGTTATCGTCCGAAAATAAGGCCATTTAAATAAGACTGCGGAAAACCGTTCAGCCAATCCCCAAGGAAGCGGAGGAGAAGAGAGGATAAAAACGGGACGTGCGAGATACCTTCCGAGGAGAAGCGTTCGGTGGCGTTTCACACCATTACTGGGCAAGATAGAGGAGTCTCCGTGGCGTACACTTTGCCAAATTTAGACCCAAAGCTGAGACTGGCATTCCACGGTCCTTATCGGCGGGAACTTCGTATGACGGGAGTACTCGCAGGGCGGCTGACAAGTAGCCGGTGGACAGAGGGGTCTCTCTTGGATCCAGAACTAACAATACGTTGAGATTAATCCCGTCCAAATCTTGCCGGATGTTACCTCCTTCAGGCTATCGGAACTCGACGGGCTTTCTTGAGTATTGACCACTTGATCACAACCAGACAAAGGGAAACGAACTTCAAACTATCGGAGTGCGGAAGGATGTGAGTTGTTGGGCGGAGCGCGGTTTATCTGAGGATATGCTTCATATGCTCTATTCAGTGCGCACAGTCGCGAAGATGGAAGCCGGTGGATGACAAGGTGCTGCGGTTGATGTTGACACGTGGCCCAGCAGATCGATTTGATGTCACGTGTTAGGCTCGTGACCAGCCTGCCTACAAATGGCAAAAATATGTGGCGAGCACTTTGCCGTAGGCAGGCTGGTACAACTCGGGACCCGCCAGAGGGCTGGGCCCGGAGTTCGAAATTTTGAGTGATGCCTATCATCGGCATCACACTGCGATCAATTCCCTACTAAATTTGAGGCTCCAGAACTCACCGGTAGCGAGCTTAATCAAAATTCTGAAGAGACAGATTTTGAGAAGAGTGAAATTGGAGTTGTCTTTCCCTTTGGAGTTTTTCCAACAGATGTAAAATAAGTTCAGAACAAAGGAAAAGGAATTCGAAAGTGATCAAACTCCGCGCCCAGCCCTTTTGTTTGTCCTGAATTGTACCAGCCTGCCTATGGCAACGTGCTCGCCACATTGCTGCAACTCGTAGGCAGGCTGGTAATGAGCCTAGTCACGTGTGACCGTGCATTCAAACCGGACTTTCCCGTCAAGTTCAACTATTGTTTGTTCCAAGTCCCCAAAGAACACCCATTTGCAGGGATATGTTTTAAACCCCTTGAAGGATGTATTTTTAAAAAAAACCTAAGTCTCCACCCTCGTGCTCAAAATCTCGCAAATGCATTTTCCATGATTTCCTGTGCTGAAACTTTTTTGAGACGCGCCTAAAGTGTGGTCTCTCACAGACAGACGCTACAAATTAAAACTCTAGCCTCGTGTGTTATTCCTAAGGTGTGCTAATGTTCAGCAAGCCGGGTATTCTACTATTACAGCTCTTTGCGGAACTTAGGGCGCGGCCTGTTTTTCTTCAAATTTAGATCTTTTCATGAGATCGGCTGTTGCAGGCTCAACTCTCCATTTTTTTACCTTGAAAGTAGCACCATTTGAATCAGATTACAATTCTGGAGGGCTGTGGACCCCACATTTGTGCAGGTGCGTTGAAATTGCCTTTTTCGGCAAATTTCGAGGGGTCCACGCAGAACTGCTGTAGCATTGGATATACTCATCCAATAGACCTAGATTTCGGATATGGTATACTTACATATGTCCCTGAGGGCCCCCAACCCTCGGATTGTGAATATACGATGTGATTGAAATTTGATAATGGCTCCAATTTCAATCAATTTCCTGCTCTACACTAAATGTGGACTGTGACCGAGAAAGCTGATCAGAGCTAATGGAGCCCTCCAAACTACATGTGAGTATAACATATCCAAAATTCAGGTTGGATGATTGGAACTAATACCACAGCTGTTCTGCGTGGACACCTCGAAATTTGCCGAAAAAGGCAATTCCCACGTGCCCGCACAAATGTGGGGTCCACAGCCCTCCGGAATTGTAATCCGATTCAAATGGTGCTACTTTCAAGGTAAACAAAGGAGAGTTGAGCCTGCAACAGCCGATCTCGTGAAAAGATCTAAATTTGAAGAAAAACGGGCCGCGCCCACGCCCACACCCTAAGTTCTGCAAAGAGCTGTAAGCCCATTTTTAAACATGTCACCTGATGCAGCGTACATCGTCATGCCACCACCATATTTTTAGCAGCCCGTCCTTGGTTCCACCCGTACAAGTTTAGACCCGTGCCTTCGGCGCGCCACGTTTGCGGCTAATTCTCAGTTGCGGGGTTTTTTTTTCAGAAGAGAAATTTATACATATACTTGGCCATCAACTGCTACTACATGTACAAGTACCTAAAACTACCTGTAACAGAAGTTAGTACCACAAATATATTTCAGAAGGGAGGAAACCATACGGGCGAAGCAACACCTCTGGATAAACAATGTTTTTTGTCATTCTGCTGTTGTCATCCTTGAAAAGAACCTTCACTCGCTGACTCGAAGTGCATCGAGAAAGTGCAACATATAGTTGGCCATGGGCAAAGACATCTGTACAGAGGTCAAGTCCAACATTGTCGACTGACTGACCCTGTGCTTTGTTTATGGTCATCAAGAATGCAAGCCGGACAGGAAACTGCTGCCACTTCATGGCAACAGCAATTTGCTCAGTGGATGGAGTAATGGTAATTTTTGGGATGAAAGCCCTTTCACCATTGTGTTCACCACCCAGGATTCAAATCTCCAGGACATGAGGCGACATTCTTGTGAGAATTCCTCTGGTTCCGTTGCAGAGACCATTTGCTGGATCTAGGTTTCGGAGAATCATGATAGGGCACCCAACCTTTAGAGCCAATTTGGCCAAAGGTAGTCCAGATGCTCGGATAGAGTTGAGATACTCTACTGGGATATGAGTGTGAGGAGGTGGTTCAGGGGATGGTATCCTTGGTGGCTGTATAGGGTCATTATTCTGTGGAATGGCAGGTTGCCTTTGTCGTTGACGTCTATTTTCTACAGGATTAAATTCCCGAGGGGCTTGGAGCTCAGCTAAACGTTGCTGGTGAGCTGCTAGAGTACCCGGTGTCAGCCTGGGCCCACCCTGAGCCTGAGCCTGAGGAGCAGGAGCAAGAGCGGGACCTCGCGATGGCCCAGCCACAGCATTCAGAGCTTGATTTAAACTGATCCGAGGAGTGTAAGCTACAGGGTTAAACTGCAGAGGGGCAGCTGCCTGAAGATCAGCCAGATGTGCTCTGTGACCTGCTAGAGTGTTTGGACTAAGTCTTGGTTGAATCTGAGCCTGCTCTGGAATCCTGTTTAGAACAGGGGCACCTCCAAAGACATCCTCAGGATTTTGTTGAAATTGAGCAGGCTGAGCAGGATGTTGAGGCTGACGATGCCTCTGAGGACTATCAAGGACCCTGTTATCACGTTCATTCCTTTGAGCCATGATTCTCGCATGCTGAGGGGTGGTTGGGGGAGTTTGATCCCTTCAGAGCGGCAAAAATTAGACTGATACAAAGAAAATAGAAAGTACCTGCATTCAGAGCCAGGCTGCAGCTGATTTGGAATTAGGGCCAAATCTGAAGAGTCAATTTTGGGTACACACAGAAGAGATAAGCACAGTGAAAAGTGGTGGGGGAGAATGAGATGTAGTTGACAGATAGGGGTATAGCTGTGGAAATCATCAAAGAGGTTACAGGAATTGAAAGCAGAAAGGGAGTAACAAACCTGGAATGGGAGGGAGTAGAGAGTAAGATGAGGGGCAGAGGCAAAGTGTGCTTATCATTAATGAAATGTGCCTTGAGGCCTTGAGGCCTTGAGGAGCGGCAGCAGGGCGGGAACGGCCGAGACATCACATGACATTTCATGTGACTTAGTGGCAGTGTTTTCATGTGACTTTCCCGTGTGGCGGTGCTGAGCTCTTTTCTTATATAGGACAAGTATATTCGACCCGTGCCTTCGTCACGGAGAAGCAGCAACACCCAGCGGACTCTCAGTTTCGCCAACGCCCGGCGGATTCCGAGTTCCCGGGTTCGCCACAGACACGGCTGATTCCGAGGCGAAGGGCACGTGATGAAATCACCTGACAAAATCACCTGACATTATCAAAAAAGCTGTGCTCCTCGTCTCTTAATGTATAAGATTGTTTTCAACAGAGCCGAAACATAGGGCTGAGGACCATACATCTGCCAGTGCCATTGCCGGTTCGCCATCACGGTCCGAAGTTCAACGAGCCTCAGGTATCTGAACCAGCATTTCAACGGACTGCATAGCAAGGCGGGACTTCCTGTAGCCGCACACATACCGCTCTTTACAAGGTTTACAGGGAACATGTCCCTCGATTTCGAGGTCTGTGTCGATTAGTGGTTAAATCATTTCGTTGTGGCCTATGATTACGTAAGCTCCGAAAAGCCGCGTGTTCGACTCACGCCGCGGACACTTTTTTGAGCCATGGTTTAACTCCCCTACGCCACCTAGAGTCGTTACCGGTCTGCCTACGAATAGCAAAAAAAAATGACACTTTGCCGTAGGTAGACTGGTACGATCACCATTCTAAACTTTCCTCGCTCTTCGCCATGTTGAACTCCTTCCTGTGCACTTGATTTACCCAGTCGCGAGCAGTGTGTAAGCGGCAGGAAGACTCCTTGAGTACTGCTCACAGAATCTGTTGACCTAGCGCCCATCGACTACACTCTCAGTATAGGTTACTGGCGTGGTCCACAAACTATAAGAAGGTCGGGCAGTCACACGGAGAGTCGCGCTGAGCAAGGATATATAACGCAGAAGAGGTACGGGGTACAGATGCGTGGGGGGATAAAGCTAGAGTGCGACAGTCGGATACGAGATATATAAGGATGATCGAGGGTCCGTAGTGAGGGAAGGGAAACAGGGGGATGCGACGCAAACGGGGTGGACGCGTGACAGGCCCTATTTCAACACAAACTGAACAACGGGTTTACAGAAGGCAAACATGTAGTACTGTAGAGGGTGGTTATACTTACAGAAATATACAATATGCTGACCGAGCACAACATGATTCCAAGGGGTGATATCACAAGATACTGGCGATTTGTGGACTCATCGGCCGTGAAATGCGGGACCTGGTCGGAGTTCTCTCCTTCCAGGTATAAATCCCAGGAGTCCACCAGTACACAAATGCTGTCGTGAGTCTTCCCTTTGCACATGAAATGCAACCACAAAGCACAGGTCATTCTCCGAACAGAGGAACCCAAGTGTCGTAAGTAGGAACCGACCGTTCCGCCTTGGATTGAGCCGCTGCCGGTGACAATTATCATTCCATCGAAGAGCGACGCGCTGACTCGGAGCTCCTTCGGGATGACAGCTGCATATTCGGCCGATGTGTGCCCTTGTAGGGAGGCTTGCCGTCGAACCCAACGTTGTAAGCATTCTGTTAATGGAACCGAACTGGTTGGAACAGGTGCATGCCGATGTTGCAGCGCAGTTCCGCACCGGCCATGAAGCCGTTGGACGTATCAGGTAGGTTCTGAAATTAATAGGATTTGCGCAGGCATTCTAAATAAACTTCCAAACCCAAGCATTGTATCCCTGTTCGACTCCACCGACAAGGATGTATGTATTCACGCTCCGAGCGTGATGAGTCATGCCGAAAACCATCGCGCATTTTCCCACCGTGTATGAAACCTTCGTCGGGTTCATGCGCAAGGTCAGGCAGAACGTTCCCGCCAGTTCTGCCCCCCCACCGCAATGATCGTCGATGTTGGGTTTATTTTTGTCGTGGGTTGAAAGCCCCACAATTCCTGAGACAGAAATTCTCAGCGGCGCGGCATGGATTCATAGTGGTATTGGGAATGCACAGTATACCTTTGGCCTTCGAGTGGAAAGCACAGCAAAAAATAAAGCATCAAAACGGTCATGTTTGAATCTCAGTCTGTCATACTCTTGGTATGTAGATCAGACCACCGTGGTCTGCCGGTTCTAGTCAAGTCAGGTCGAGTCATCTGGTACGTATGCGTGGTAGTCGGCGCGTTCAAGGAGTAGACGAACCGTCATTCTCCACTCCGGATAATTCGGTGAGTCTATTATACCGAGCCGGCTTCGACAGTGAAATGGAAAGGGTTGAACGATAATCTAGGGGATCTCATCGATTCCTCCGCTATTCGTGAATGCATGGTAAATCCATAGCCAATGACGGCTTGAGTTCCTCCCCCACAAGCGAATCGTATGTCCGAGGGTCCGTGATGTCTATGTGAGCAACCTTCTGCGTGATCGCCCACAGGTAATTGCGGATCTCCATCCCAGGATCGCCGGTGTGCCGCAGCGGGAATATCTTGTAGTGGTATTTCATCCCGCTGGGAATGTTCATCATGTGCACGGTGATCCGCCCCGCGCTAGCGGCCGCCCGATACCCATGATTGTAGTGTCGAGCGACCCAGTCGTACGGCATAGCCTCCTCCAAGAGGCTAGTGGGACTGGGCCAGGGAACGACATTAACGACGACGGGTCCGTCCATGTAATCGAAGCAGACCAGTGTTTGCTGCTGAGGATTTTGTTTTAGCACCGAAATTTCCGCCGCGAAGATTTGATGACGATGAGCAAGGTATTCTCTGTGAATCAGGGCGCGCATGAACGCTCGATCCTGTTTGCTGCATTGCTGTTCCTCTGCACCGTGTTCAGGATTCAATCGTGTATGGTCGATCGAGGGGCATACCTGGAAGTTTTCCGACTCCGGAGAACTGTAGGCACGTCAATCGGTGGCCTGCCCGCCAGTCGATTGTCTGACATTGACGCGAACAGTAGTACACATCGAGGCATTTCGAGCAGCGCTGGAACTCAGATTTCTCGCGAAGTTGACCACACTGAAATGAGAATCAGGCAATGATGACGAGGACGGATTCTATAACAGACCGCCATGTTTTTTTTTTTTTTTTTTGAATCAATTTTGTATCCCCTCTGTCGCGTACGATATGGTAGGGACCCCGCCTGCACTACATAAGTATCAAAAATCTATTTAAAGAGTCGTCGTCGTGGGAGGGGAATTCGGCAGTACTGAGGAGCGCAAAGCGCAACCTCAGCGGGAGAGACCCGCTAGTTTTAACGAGAGGCCGAAGCCGTCGTGGGGAGTAAATGGTAATTAGTAAGGGGAAGAAAGTAAGTAAGAGGAGGAAAGGAGTCAAGCCACCAGAGCTTCCCGGCGGATGGGGGCATCGAGCGGGGGCATCTCGTCGATTTCGGCGAAGACTGTGCGATATCGGCCGGAGCGAGCAACGAATTGGAAGAGGAGGGGGATAAGCTTCGGGCGCATAAGCAGTTTGTAGAGGATGCGAGTATCGCGTCCGCCGCGACGAAAGAGCTCCGCGCGGGCATTGGAATGGGCCGGGCAATGGAGGAGATAGTGCATTACTGTCTCGTCTTCACGATGGCAGCACGGGCAGGTGGGGGAGTCAGCTTTCTTCACTCGGTGGAGGTGCTTGTTCAGGATAGTGTGTCCGGTGCGGAGCTGGAGGAGGATAACGGCGTGCGCGGCATCCGTTCGCAGAGTTGGATGTACTTGGCGGACGGGCGCGCGAGCTCGTAGCGCTTCAAGCGGTGGAAACGGGGGGATTTCTTCCACTCGGCGGCCACTTGGAGTCGAAGCTGTGTGTTAAACATCTGCTTGCGCGCCGAACGACTGACTGGGAGGACGCCGCGGAAGGCCGGGGGGATGGAGCCGCGCGCGGAGGAGCCCTCCTGCGCTGCCCGCTTCGCCTCGACGTCTGCGCGCTCGTTGCCTGCGATGTCCCGGTGGCCCGGGGCCCAGCGGATGGTGATCTTCACCCGCGGGTGCCTGCTCCGAACGCTCGCCGCGTGACGGTGTAACTTGTCCCAGATGTAGTGGGAGGGAGTGGGGCGTAGACTCTGTGTTGCGTCAATCGCTGGAGTGCTGTCAATGATGATGGTTGCATCGCCTTCGACCTCCGTCGCTGCCCACAGCAGCCCAAGCCCAATGTTACCCCCGATGCCTTCGCCCTCGTAAACGGTGTGATCGGAGACCGCCATGTTATCACAGGCCTTGTAGCCTAACGCTGGTGTAGAGTCGAAAATTTCCAGCAAATCGAGACGTTCGCGGACAACGGCCTGGAATTGCTGCCATGCTGCGAAGGATTTGGAGGCCACGAAGGCCTCGGATTTGACGAGGTCCGCGACCTCGACAAGGCAGGCCCGCATGTGGACCAGGATGCTGCGATACACCATGTATGCTGGGAGCACCTTCGTCAGAAGGGCGTCCAGCTGCCCATCAAGGTCGACATGCCCCGTGTGGGTCGATGCAACGAACACAATTGCTCGAAGCAAACCGGATTGAAGTGCTTCGTACATCCATGTTAGGCCCGGTGTGTGTGTGGAGTGTCTTCCTGTTGAGGTCGAAGCCGTCGGGTCGTTGTCGTGGTATGAAACAAGCAGCGGAACTTCTGTATTTGATGACAAACAAATGCTTAAATACTACGGCAAGTCCGGCCGTGATCACCTCCTCAACACTTCCCAGCATGTTCAAAGAGAAGACAAGCAAGTCCAGCCCGTTGCCATGGTCTGTAGCAACACTATTCAGGGAGCACACCCCAGACACGAGGGCCCCCAGTACTCCGTGGCGCCGAAGGCTAGCGCCGAAAACAGTGGAAAATTTCTTGACTTCATCGACCTTGGACATGAATGCGATGGCGGCGGTAAAATGCGAGACCCCCCTCTAGGACATCAGGCCGTTAGCTGCGGCGTGATTCAGATGTTTGATGACCATCGACGCCAGAGACTCTAGACTGCCTCCCGCACCGGCGAGATATTCATCTACCACATTATCATGAGATATTGGGGTCATCAGGTCCCAGTTGATGAAGAAGGATACGTTCCGTAACTCGATCGCATCTGAGTCGGCCACGTCGAGGAAGAGATCCCATGCTGTAGTCATCACCTCACGTACACCGGGTGTGGACGCGATAAGTTTGCAAAATCCGGCCGCCCGAAAAGAGACACATAGCTCGACAAATGTGCCATAAAGGACTTTCTTCCTCGGGAGTCCGAGCAGGTGCTCGCTGTACGTGTGTAGAAAGGCAATCCAACCCCAGGCGCGGGGCCACAGTTCAGGATATACACCCCGAGGAAATTTGGGCATGGCTGAAATAGACTGTAGCGACTGCATTGCTGCGAGGACAGCATTACTGTGCTTGCCGGCGATCTGCATGTCCTCGACCATCTCTGCGCTGGGAATGCGGGCGGGGTCAAGATTCCCATAGAATATCGGCAGTAGGGGAACGATTTCGGAAGTGAGGGCCCTAAACAGGCCAATGACAGGTTGAGGGCCTTCGAAGTGTTGGGCTTGTATGTCGGATTCTGAATACATCAGCAAATTAGCCGCTCGCTACGTATACAGGGTAACAAAGACCGAAAGGTCAGCTTTCGATTGAATAACAGTAAGAGATTTACTTGAA